TCTGTGTCCCATAGATTATGGCGTGTTTCTATTTTCATTTGTTTCAAGAATTTTAAATTTTATTTTTAATTTCTTCCTTTAGCTGTTGGTTGTTCCAGAGCATGTTGTACAATTTGCATGTATTTGTATAGTTTTGAATGTTACTGTTGTTACTGATGCCTAGTTGTATTTCATTGTGGACAGATAAGATACTTGATATGATTTCAATTTTTTAAAGATTTTTGATGCTTGTTTGTGTCTTAACATATAGTCAGTCCTAGAGAATATTTCATATGCTGATTAAAAGAATGTGCACTCTTATTAACATAAATAACATTTTTATGAAAAATAGCTATATTCTCAAAAATTCAGTACAAAGAGTGCTATTGTTTTACATTTTTCCAAACTGCTTTGATGGATATGTGATAGAAGACAGCCGAATTCTCATACTTCTGCATTCAATCTCTTGTTATGTATTCTTTTGGCTGAAGTAGGAAGAGAAAACCCGACCTCGTAGGTATGTAATTAGAAAAGAGAAGATCTCACAGAGTCCTGGCTTTGATAATCTCTGATCTATAGAATTAACAATCTGGCAAACACTGCATTCATTCATGTGAGAGGTTACAAATCTACATTGGTCTCAAGCTCTCAGCTCCAGCCTGTTCTGGGTCAGGCACTCTTTGATCTATCTCTGAGTATGAACTTCACTCACATTTTACTAAGAAGGCCCAAGCCATCCAATAATGACTTTCTAGCAATCATTTTTTAATATTCTTTAGTTTTGCTTTTTTAAAAAATGTGTGTATTCTGAAGCTTTTGGGTGAAATGTTCTGTAAATGTCTATCAGGTCCATTTGGTCTGTGGTGCAATTTAACTGTTTTTTTGTTGGTTTTCTGTCTAGATGATCTGTTTAAGGCTGAGGGTAGGATATTGAATTCTCCAGTTATTATTGTATTGGTGTCTATCTCTCTTTTTAGAACTAATATTTGCTTTATATTTCTGGGTGCTCCAACTTTGAGTGTATATATATTTACAATTGTATTATCTCTCTGAATTGATGCCTTTATTTTTATATAATGTTCTTCTTTGTCTCTTTTTACAGCTTTTGACTTGTAGTCTGTTTTGTCTGCTATAAATATAGCTTTCCTTCCCCCTTTTGGCTTCTGTTTTCATGAAATGTCTTTTTCTATTTCTTCATTTTCAGTCTGTCTGTCTCTTTACGGGTGAGGTCAGTTTCCTGTAGGCAGCATATAGTCAGGTCATGTTTTTTTATCCTTATAACCAATCTATATCTTTTAAATTGGAAGTTTAATCCATTTATATTTAAGATTATTATTTATAGGTGAAGATTCCTATCATTTTGTTGATTGTTTTCTGGTTGTTTTGTCCATCCTTTGTTTCTTACTTTTATTGATTTTTGCAATTGAGTGGGTTTTTTTATAGTGATAAGATTTTATTTCTCTTTCTCCTTCCTGTATCAACTCTCCCAGTGTGTTTTATAGTTTTACATGTTTTCATGATAGTGTTTATTGTCTTTTCACTTCCAGGTGTAAGAGTCCCTTGAGCATTTCTTGTAAAGCCAATCTAGTGATAATTAATTCCCTTTGCTTGTCTAAGAAACATTTTATTTCTTCTTCATTTCTTAAGGATAACTTTGCTGGGTAATATTATTGCCTGACAGGCTTGTTTTTTTTTTCCTTTCAGTATTTTTAGTATATAATCTCATGCTCTCCTGTTCTGTAAGATTTCTGCTGAGAAATCTGCTGTTAGTCTAATGGAGATTGCCTTATATTGACTTGATGTTTTTCTCTTGCTACTTTTAGAATTCTTTCTTTGTCTTTGACTTTTGAAAGTTTGGCTGCAATGTGTCTCAGAAATGATGTATTTGAGTTGAATGTGTTTGGTTGAATCTGTTTAAGGTTCTTTGAGCTTCCTAGACCTGGACGCTCATTTCTCTTCCAAGGCTTGGGAAGTTTTCTGCTTTTGTTTCATTAAATATATTTGTTACAACTTTCCCTTCTCCGTCTGGGATGCCCATTAGTGGTGTCACATAAATAATCCTGTACGGGACAGGTGCAGTGGCTCACACCTATAATCCTAGCACTTTAGTAGACTAAGGTGAGAGGACTACCTGAGCCCACAGGTTCTAGACCAGCCTGGGCAACTTGGCAAGCGTTCATCTATACAATAAATCAAGAAAAATTAGCTAGGTGTGATGGCACATGCCTATAGTAGTTCCAGCTACTTGGAAGACTGAGGTGAAAGGATCACCTGAGCCCAGCAGCTCAAGGCTGCAGTGCCATGAGCATGTCACTGCACTCTAGCTTGGGTGACAGAGTGAGACTCCAACTCAAAAATAAGTGAATAAATAATCCTGTAGACTTTCTTCATTCTTTTTATTTATTTATTTATTTATTCACCTGTGTTATTTTAAAAGACCTATCTTCAAGTTCACAGATTTTTTTTTTCTGCCTGACCTAGCCTGTTGTTGAAGCTCTCTGTTACATTTTTATTTTATTCAGTTCTGAGATTTCTGTTTTGTTCTTTGCTATGGTATCTGTATCCTTATTGAATTTCTCATTTAAATCATGAATTATTTTCCTGATTCTGTTGACTGTGTATCTGTATTACCTTCTATATCACTGAGTGTCCCTAAGATTGTAATTTTGAATTTTTTCTGGTATTTTATATATTTCCTTATGGTTGAGTTCTTAGTGGAAAATTAGTGTTTTACTTGGGAGGTGTCATCTCTCCTTGCTTTTTCATGTATGATGTGTCCTATGTTGATTTATATGCATCTGGTGGAAGCATCACCTTTTCCAATGTTATGGAGTAGGTTTTCTAGGAAAAGACTTATTCATATGAACAGGTCTTAAGGTGTTGGTTCAGTGGTGTGTGTTGGTGTTGTGTATTCGCTGTAGTTTCTTGAGTTGTAATCTTCAATAGTAATATTTGCAAGTGTCTCTGTGGCCGAGGCTGAGAGAGTTTGTGGCAGCAGTGGCACAGCTTTGCTGGTGATGAACTTGCTGGGCTGTTTCTCGAGTCAGGAGTGCATGTGTGCACACAGTGGGTCTGCAAACTTGGGGTCTGGCTGACTGGGATTGGAGCCAAGGAACTGTTAATCTGCGCAGGAGCACAGGCACGTGGTTTCTCAGGCAAGCTGTTTGTATGCCTACAGCAGCACCTTGTGGCTGACCTGGAGTCACATCTTCTGAAGTGGTCCACAGGCTGTTTATTAGGCTTGAGATGTGGTCACACAGGTTCTTGGCAGGCCTGAGTGTGTCTTACCAGGTGCATCCCATGAGGCTGTTTCTCAGGCCTGGGATGCAGGCGTAAGGCTGCTCAACTAGCCCAAGGGCATGTCTGCTGGGGTGATCCATGAGGCTCTTTCTCAGGTTCAGAACTTATTCCAGGCAGCTCAACTGGCTCAGGGGCATGCCCACCAGAGGTGGCCCTTGGGGCTGTTTCTCAGACCCAATATGCAGGCCCATAGTTGCTTGGCTGATCTGGGTGACTTCCCACCAGGGTTGGCTCACAGGGCCTGCAGAGGCCGTTGCCGTCACACCGCCCACCTGGGCTTCCAGTCACCACAAGTATGTCTTTATTCCAGCGTTCTCCCTTCAGTACAAGCCATAGCAGTTCACTCATTGCCCCAGTCCGTCCTTGTGGGAGGACAAGTGCCAGGCATCTCCAGTCAGCCGTCTTGCTGATGTTACTTCCTCTGCCATTCCTTAATTCAGTGCAATGTTTAGCTCCTGAGGACCATGGACCCTGGCAAAAAGGAATTGGTTGATTAGCAGTTCAGACTTGATCATAGATTTTGAGAAAAATGATATAGGTTCTGGTTCTTTTTGAAGCAGTTTAATATATTCAGTTTTAGCAAGTGAATAAAAAGACTTGAAAAAGTATAGATGTTGGCTGGGCACAGTGGCTCACACCTGTAATCCCAGCACTTTGGGAGGTAGAGGCAAGAGAATTGCCTGAGTCTAGGGGTTCAAGACTAGCCTGGGCAATTTGGCAAGACCTCATCTCTACAATAAATCAAAAAATTATCCAGGTGTGGCAGTGTGCACTTGTTGTTCCAGCTACTTGGAAGACTGTGGTGGAAGGATCGCCTGAGCCCAGCAATTCGAGACTGGTGGCTATGAGCATGCCACTGTCCTCCAGCCTGGGCAACAGAGTGAGACTCTGACTAAAAAAAAAAAAAGACAAGAAAAGGCATAAATGTGACTTTATTTGGCTAATAAGTCATCTGAATGTTATGTTATTATGTATATTATTGTATCTACTTTAAATAATATTTTCAATTTGTGGAAGATTTCCTGTTTGACTGAATAACATAATGTGTTTTCCAAGGCCACTGCTGAAAGTGGTTTTTCCAGTGAAATTATGGCTCCTATCAGTGTTACTATAGTATTGTGCAGTTTGGTAGTAACTTAACTTTCAAATGTCCTGCTTAGGATATTACTCTGTTCCAAAAAAAATTAGCATATACATTGTGATATTTAACCATATACCTTGCAGTTGTTTAACAGAAGACATAAAAATGGTTGGCTTTGGCCGGGCTCGGTGGCTTAACCTGTAATCCCAGCACTTTGGGAGGCCGAGGTGAGCGTATTACCTGAGCCCGCGGGTTCGAGACCCACCTGGGCAACTTGACAAGACCTCATCTCTACAATAAATCAAAAATTAGCTGGGCGTGGTAGTGCGCGCCTGTAATTCCAGCTACTTGGAAGGCTGAGGCGAAAGGATCACCGGAGCCCAGCAGGTCGAGGCTGCGGTGGCTGGGAGCGGCCACTGCACTCCAGTCTGAGTGACAGAGTGAGACTCCAACTCAAAAAAAAATAAAATAAAAATAAATGGTTGGTTTTGCTATTCTGTAAAGGTAAAAGTAAAGAAATAAGGATAGACCAAAGGAAAAATACTAGGCTATATTAAGATGAAATGACTTAATATTTCTTACTATTACTTAATGTTACTTACCAAAACATGTTCACCCTACTCATTTCTTTATGTTTCAGATGCAGAAAGGAAAAGTTTATACACTCTTTTTCTGGAATCTGTACAGTCCCGTCTTCGACATGGTGAAGATTTCACTCCACAGGTTCTTACTGAGCAGCAGGCAACCAAAGAGAATGTTATTAAGATGCAGTCCATCGCTGAAGGGCACTTCGAACTGGATGATGTTCACGATCCCCTGCTTGCCATTAACTTTGCAAGGTGACACACACCTGCAAGTTTCTCAGTGATTAAAATGGCAGAATCTGTGCAGTGTTTAGTAGCTGTTTATTTCTGCCATGTATGGCTTTCCAGCCTTAAAAACTCCTGTAGCCTGTCCTTTCTAATGAATGGAATACAAGGTATTATGTGCACTTATTTCAGATATATGGTTTGGCCTCTTAGTTGTTTGTGAACATCTACAGACTTGGCCCTGCCATCTTGTCTGTGTGCCCCCAGTCTCCTGGGAGTGCTGTCATTCACTCAAAATGTGCTTTGAAAGTCTGGTTTGTGAGCAGGCATCAGACACACATTGAGTCAGGGTCCCATTGGCATAAAATGTATCTTAGGCTTAGATGCTCTTAGGGCTCTTAGCCCAGTGAAATAAATCATTAATGCCCACTCAATGCTGATTGTCTGATGGCCAGCATTCACTCTGTGCTACCCTGATAGCTAGAAGGACAACTGCTGTACCTGATCTTAAGGCAGCAGTGATTCTGAAAGACTGGGCACTCAAAGGATATTTTGGGGAGAAAGAATTTTCTCTTTACATTATAGTTGGTAATTTTAAAACTAAATTGAGCCCTGGGGTTTTGATTTAAGATCATTCTGTTGATAGCAGGTCAAAAAAAAAAAGACTCATGTTTTTATCTTGAAGGTTATATTTGGAACAGAGTGATTTTCATGAGAAATTTGCTGGTGGTGATGTATGCGTGGATAGATCATCGGAATCTGTGACATGCCAGACTTTTGAATTAACACTGAGGTCGTGCCTCTATCCTCATATTGATAAGCAGTATCTAGATTGCTGTGGAAATCTTATGCAGACTCTAAAAAAAGATTACAGGTAAAAAAGAACAATTTAAGTTTTAGAAGTCATTAGTTAGTTGTACCTTAAGAATGGATGGGGGTTGGGCTTGGTGGCTCAACCTGTAATCCCAGCACTTGAGAGATTGTCTGAGCCCGCGGGTTTAAGACCAGTCTGGACAACTTGGCAAGACCTCGTCTCTACAATAAATAAAAAAAAAAAAAAAATTAACTGGGCTTGGTAGCGTGCGCCTGTGGTTCTGGCTACTTGGACTGCTGAGGCAGAAGGATCCCCGAAGCCCAGCAGGTCGATGCTGGGGTGGCCATGAGTATGCCACTGCACTCCAGCCTGGACGACAGTGAGACTCCAACAACAACAAAAAATGGATGGAATTATCTTAAACCTCTCTTTCAAGTCTGTTTTTGTTAGAGTAGGAAATGGATATACAGTAAACAATTTTTTGAGAGGATCAGTTGAACAATTTTTTCTTACTGTGTTGTGAAATTTAATTATTTCTGAGAACCTATTCCAAAAGAAATAGCTTGAAAAAGCTTGTTACACAAAAATGCCCATCATAAAGTTTGCTATTAGAATGAAAATCACGAAATTAGTAACAGATGAATAGTTCTGGCATATCTATGAATGTGGCATACCCATATCCATGTATAGTTCATAAAAATTATATTGATTGAAATCCATGTGTGATATGATAGAATCCAGATTTTGTTGAATGTATTTTTTAAAAAGACTGGAAAGAAATACCCCAAATACTAACAATGGAAATTCACCATGGATGGTGGGATTTGAATTAACTTTTTTGTTACATCTTTGTGATAACATTTCTTTCTGATGAGTAGAGGAAAACATACTATTTTTATTACTTTAAAAAGTATTTAAGAGGTGTTAATATTTCTAACTTTAGTAACAGAATGTAAACTTGTTTTACTGAAAATAGCAGGGTAGGGCCAGGTCTGTGTCTCACACCTATGATCCCAGTGCTTTGGGAGGCCAAGGCGGGAGTTGCTTGAGGCAAGGAGTTCAAGACCAGCCTGGGTACCACAGTGAGACCCTGTCTCTGCAGAAAAATTTTTAAAAACTAACTGGGCTTGATGGCACATGCTGGGAGTCCCAGCTACTTGGGAGGCTGAGGCGGGAAGAACACTTGAGGCCGAGAGTTTAGGCTGCTGTGAGCTATGATTGTGCCATTACACTCCAGCCTGGCAAAGTAAGACTGTCTCAAAATTTAAAAAAGGAGAGGGAGGTCCTGCGGGGCCAGGTACAAAACCGAGTATTTATCCAGAATCCTGCCTATGAATATCAAAGATCTTTCTGTCACTTATTTTCTCTCCTTTTAGGTTGGTAGAGTACTTGCAGGCCATGAGGAATTTTTTCTTAATGGAAGGTGGAGATACCATGTATGACTTCTACACATCAATTTTTGATAAAATAAGAGAAAAAGAAACCTGGCAGAATGTGTCTTTTCTTAATGTCCAGCTACAGGAAGCAGTAGGACAGCGTTATCCTGAAGATAGTTCACGGTAAAATATGGAAGGCCTCTTTATTTAAATTAATATAAATTAAGCTTGTGCCAAAAAGTCTTCTGTGAATTATATATATTATTTAATCCTCACACTCTCCCTGTGAGTTTTACTAATACTGTTTTACATATGAGAAAATCGAGGCAGTTGTTAGCTAGGCAACTCTCCCCTGAGCAAGAGAAGATGATGAGCTAGGGCCGTCCTCAGCCCCACATCACTGGCTGCCAGTTTATCAGTCCCACCTTCTAGAGAGCATCCCTGACCACTCAGGGCTGGCTCAGAGCTCTCCTGTGCCTCTGTCTCTCTCATCTTGCTCCTTTGCACCAGAAGGGACTTGGCCCTCACCAGAGAAACCTCAGAACACCAGCCGGGACCTCTGCCGCTCACAGGCGCCTTGTCATAGTCGGGCTGAGCTTTCTCTCGGGAGGGAGTAAGCTTTTTACTGTCTGGCTCCATTTTCCCAGCCTTGTGTCTTACACACATACTGACCCTGTTCTGTCTCCTACCATACTTTGCATTTCAGGGATTTGGAAGTATTTCTGGTTTCCCTAAATGCTATCCTTCCTCCTTCATCAATGGCAGACTCTCAGTTCTCGAGCCTGGCAGTGGTCTGCTCGCTCCTGCAACAGCTATGTTTTCACAAATCTGCTGGACTGGAGTCTCTGAAGGGAGGAGAGATCAGCTTTCTCTCACCTGCTAAGTGCAGCACCTGACAAAATATTCACTAGATGCCTACTAAGCACTGAGTAAATGTAGATGCATCGGGTTGTTAGAGCTCAGAAAGTTCTGACCAGTGCCTATGCCACAGAATGAATTAGCTAATTCATAATCACATGCTGCCCTTTACGTGACTGGTTTTAAGGCTAACTCCCCATGTGGACCTCCCATACTGTGCATCCAGGCGTCACCTTGGGGCCTCTATGACTGTGGGAGAGTCTTGGTAGTCACTGATGGGACCGTTTTGAGGATAAGAGATAAGGACCCTGATGGTGCCTGCCACGTGGGCATTTCCATGTACCTATTAGCTGCTTTCTTTCTCTTAAGAGTCACATTAATGCCTGTCTCAGGAACATGTGGAAGCAGCAGTGTGTGCTGCTGTGCTGAAGAAGCAGCCCCATCTTGTCTGGATGCAGCTCTCAATGCCACTGTTCTCTGACCCTGCATGGCTACCTCGGCCCACTGTTCTCATCCTCTCCCAGCCCGTGTAGAGGTTTCATCTTTCAAACCTGTTGCCTGAATTTTACCAGAATTAAGTTCCCAGCCTTCACATTGCACTACCATTACATTTTCTTCCCCAACTTCATCTTTTTTCCTGACTTATCTCATTAAGTACTCTCTTATAGGTAAACTCATTTAAAAACGTCATCCCTCTTCTGTATTTATAAATTCTAGAATATATGCTAGAAAACACACTAATTGGAATATTTTCATTCCCTTGGCATCTTTTTTGAATATTACTTTTATGTAAATAAACATAAAATGCTAATTGTTATGTTTAAATAGCATTTTCATATGACGTAGTACTTTACAAACTAAACTGAAATTTCTTTTTTAGTCTGTCTATATCATTTGAAAATGTTGACACAGCTAAGAAGAAACTACCTGTTCATATCTTAGATGGTCTGACCCTGAGCTACAAGGTACATGCTGATATTTTTTGTGCAAACATTGTTTTCTGTTTAAATTTTTTTTTTTTTTTTT